AATAATAGATAATGTTGTTTTAGCCAATGAGTATGTCCATTATCTTAACAGTAAAAGAAAGGGTAAAGTAGGTTTAATGGCCATTAAATTAGATATGGCAAAAGCTTTTGATCGGGTTGAATGGCCCTTTCTTGTTTTGATCCTTAGGAAAATGGGGTTTTGTCACTCTTTTATCTGTCTTATTTTTGCCTGTATTAGCTCTTCTTCTTTCTCCTTCAAAATCAATGGGCAGCCTCAAGGTTTTATTAAGCCAACTAGGGGCTTAAGGCAGGGGGATCCTTTATCCCCCTACCTTTTCATCATCATATCTGAGGCTTTATCAAATCTTATTAACCAAGCAGCAGTATCTAAGCATTTTCTTGGCTTTAAAATTGGTAAGAATGCCCCTATGATCACCCATCTATTTTTTGCTGATGACTCTATTGTTTTTTGTAAAGCTTCTGCTCAGAATGCTTCTATCCTTTTGAATATTCTTGATAATTATGGCCAAGCCTCAGGCCAAAAGGTCAATATTGATAAATCCACTATCATGTTTTCCAAAAATACTTCTGGGGAGGCTAAGGCCCAAATTTCCCAAAATTTTCAAGGGATTCAGATTGTAAAATCCTCTAAATATCTTGGTTTGCCATTAGGCTTAGGTAGATCTAAAAAATCCACTTTTAAATATGTTTTTGATTGTGTGTTAGCTAGAATATCTAGCTGGAAAAATTGCTTTTTAAGTGATGCTGGATGGCTCACACTCATTAATGCTGTGCTTAGTGCTATGCCTCTGTATGTGATGTCTTGTTTTAAGCTTCCATCAAGCGTTTGTAGAGACATTCGCAAGAGCATAGCTGATTTTTGGTGGGGTAACTCAGGGGATGGTAATGGCAGAATACATTGGGGATCCTGGGATAAAATAGCCAAACCTAAAGAGAGGGGTGGGTTGGGTATTAGGAACCTAGAGACTTTTAATAGTGCCTTGATAGGTAAGCAAATATGGAGGATCATCACTTGCCCAAACCTCCTGATGAGTAAGGTTATTAGGGGTAGGTACTTTCATAATAAGAACGTGTGGGAGATAAAATCTAAACCTCATGATTCCTGGCTCTGGAAATCTTGGATGAGTGTGAGAGATGAGAGAAAATATAGAGTATCAAAATGGGTCTTCCCATTTGGGTGGTGTTAGAGTGGAGTGGAAGCTTAGCAAGAATGGGCAGTTCACAGTCAAATCTATGTACTCTGCTATGAAGTTAAAACAGGAATTAGCATTGATGCAACCAGAAGCTAGCTGTAGTGGGAACATTCAGAAGAAGCTTTGGAAGCACACTTGGGGTTTGAAGATTAAGAACAAGATCAAGATTTTCATATGGAGATGCTATCATGGTTTTGTGGGCTCTTTGGACAGGCTGAGGAGAAAGGGGATGGTGATGGATCCTATCTGCAACATGTGTGGTGAAACGGAGGAAACACTAGTGCACATATTTTTCTCATGTCATAGAGCCAAAAGAATTTGGAAGCTCTCAGGTGTCAATTGGGAAGGACTGCAAGGATCAGAAAGCAACTTCCAATGGTGGTGGCAGGACATTGTCTTGATGAAAAACTTCTATGGAGCCATTGACAGAATCTCTCTTTCTACATATGTGTTGTGGTGGCTCTGGAAGACAAGGAATAGCTGGGTTTTTAGAAAGGAATGGATCTCTGAGATGGACACAACACAGGGAGCTAGGAGGGAGTGGTCAGAGTTTTCTTTTGTTGTGGGCTGTTAAGCTTTTGTTTTTCTCCTGCTTTTCTTTTCTGGGGTTAGGGGTGACTGTTTTGTGGGAGTAATGGACTGTAG